GCCAAGCCAAATGGATTGACTGCTCGGCTCTGATAAGAACTTTTTTTTTTTGTTTTAACGTTTGATTCAATGTTTTAAATTATAAATATTCGTTTTAAGCGATTTAAAATTTATTGAAAATGTTGAAGTGCGGCCATGATAAATATATAATCGATAAATTTTAAATATCAAAAATAATTTTACATTAATTGTGAAACATAAAGTCATAATTGTTTATGTTTCTTTTCAATTCCAACCTCATTTCAATGTCCTTTTTTCAAACTTCATTTTCCTGCAGTTTTTCGTTTGATTCGATATTTCACGATATGAATATCCATTTGAATCGATTTAAATTTTGAAAAAAAAAACTTAAAATGTGATAATAATAAATATATTGTCGATTTTAAGTTTAAATATAAAAATTATCTTAAATTATTAAATGTAAAATCATAATCGTTAATTTTTCTTTTTTATCCCACCATCAACCCTCTTACTCAAGCCAATTTCTCTCAATTTCAGTTTTCTTCAGTTTTTGCGGTTAAAAATAGTAAATTTATGGCGTCAAAATGGATATTGAAGGAACTCAATGATTTTCAGAAGAATCCTCATACATCATGTAGTGCTGGTAGACACATCTTCTATGAAGTGGATTTTTTTTTTATTTTTTTAAAATGAATTTAATGTACAGTATTATTAGAACATGCTGAAAAGATATTCAACGGAATTTATGAAGTTAGGTGATCGTTTGTTATTTTTTTTGCCTCTATGATGGAAATTTTCGTTGTGTTGTGACTTTAATATTGATAAAAACCCTTGATTTGTCCTAAATTCTCCACTGTATTATCATTAATTAATTAGTTTTGACTACATACGTTTTGCATTGGGTCTTGGTAAAGAAATTAAATACTAGTACAACTGATACATGTAATTGGAGATTCTATGAGCACGAAATGAAGGAGACGTAATGTCTTATCTCAATAGGTAAAAAATGAGCGTTAGGTTGAATTTCATTATCTTTTTAGTAGGGCATCAACACCTAATCATCTATATCCTGTCTTTTTTTAAAAAGAATAGAGAGATCTTCAAACGTAAAGTTTAAAAAATAAGTTTTGAATCAAATCTCTTAATATTATTTTTATCACATATCATCATCATTTCAAGTGTTTTAAGTTTAATGTACTAATGTTTAAGACAAATAATTTTTTTTTATATTTACGCTATCATATAGTCAATTATACTATAACACGTGCATTGTACGTGCGTTTTACTAGTTATATCAAGAAATCTTCATAAAGACGAAACCAAAGTTCAGATTATAAAAAATAAAAAATTGGAGAGGGTCATCAAGCAAGATCTGAAGAAGCTGCCTTCGCAGACGCCTTTCCCTGATGAAATTCCCACAAGCACTTCATTGGTCAAATTTGAAGAGCAGGATCCCTGCAGAAATCCCGAGGTGACACCCATTTGGCACTTAATCAACTAATTTTAGGCCTTCTGGAGGACTCAAACTCTTGGCGCTTGCCGCTTGCTCATCATGACCATTTATAAAAATGGCGGATAGATATATAAAAAACAAATTTTCCATTTGTACAGAAATGGAATTAGCAGAAATTTGCCAGATCACTGCTCCCATGTGAGTAAAATATTGCCACAAAAAAAGGCCCCACCTGTGTGTATTTTCTGTTGCATTTCTGTACACACAACAACATTCTGTAAAAAAAAGGTGTGAACGTGTAGATATATAAAAATTGTGTGGATAAATATATCAAATGATTGAAGAAATTATAATGGGATAGATATATGAAAATAGTATGGATGTATAATGTTTAAATGAATGTATATAATAAGAAAAATATCGAAATATGACATGGATGAAGATAGTATTTTTTATAAAAAAAAAAAAATAGAATTTCAATGGGGATAGATAGCGGAACTTAGCCCATGTTTGAGCCACATTATTTGTTTTCATTCTTATTTTTCTACTTATTTTTAATCACACATTTTTCAATAAAATAATATTTTTCATCACATCAACAACTTTTCATTCTTTTTCAACCACATATTCCTCATCACATCAACAAAAAAAATGCATTATTGACCCCAAAATGTGCACCAAACAGGGGTTAATATTTTTTGATTGACAGCCATGCTACATGTTCAAGAAAAAATCGACAATTTTTTTATAGAAGAACACTGACAGTTTTTCATTGATTTTGGACCCAATAATGACAAATAATGTCCCCCACATATTATTTTTTGACTGATTTAAAATTTTGGTGAATGATTGGAACAAGTGCAAAGCAAAAGCGATTCTTCTACCCTAACAAAGAGGAACAAAAAAATAAAATAAAAGAAAATAAAAGAATAGAGATTGATGGACAGCACATCAATGTCTGTCCTATGATTTGAAGTGTTGAGAATGTTATTATTCTGTCATATTTAGCCTAGGATTGAGCTCTATTTTTTTTTTTTTAAAGAGTTTTAAAATAGTGATTTTTTGAAGAATTGAGAGATAAAAAGTATGGAAATATTTTGAATTTACGTATAAATTATTTTATTGAAAAAATGTGTGATTAAAAATTAATTTAAAAAAAAAAAGAGTAATGGGACTTAAACAGGAGTTAGTATTACCGTATTCAATCTAGAGATACCACATAAAATGATGAAGCACTTATTTGAGCCGTATTTTTGGTAAATAATGCATTTTGAACTAGTAGATTGGTGGAAAATGTGTGATTAAAAAATAAGAAAAAAGTTTAGAATTTTAGTGTAATATTACTTTATTGAAGAATGTATGATTAAAAAGAAAAAAGAAAAAAAAATATTTTAAAAATAATGATAACCAAATAAGGGCTAAACCGTCGCTTTTTTCATGGTGGGCAACTTCATTCTCACCAAATTCCATATATTTATTCACAAATCATTGTGTTTGATTTTGAAAATACCTATGATATTGTAATTGGATACAGTAATGACAAATATGCACTCCATCTCTCACGTGATTTTTAACATTCATTTTGTTTTCAATAAATTGTGGGTGGAAAAAATGTTCAAATATATTTTTTTAAAAATGTTCAATGATGTGTTGTCACGTGGCGCAATGTAAACAATTATGTAAAAAAAAGATGTATATGTAGCACGATCGAATTGGATATTCAGAACTTGGAGACAAAATGGGAGCCGAAGAATTTGGTTTTGGTATAAGAAAATGAAAAAATTCATATCTAAAAGATTAAGTATGACATATTTCAAAACTAAGAAACAAGATTTAAAACTTGAAAAATCGTATATTAATTAAATCCTATTTGTGAAATAATTAATTAAAATATATTTTATTAATTAAATGTATTAATATTTCAGTTCTACACAATTTGGTCATAAATTATTGAATTAGTTGGTCACAAATTATTTTTCGGTCACAACCTCATAAAATGTGAGTCACAATTATATATTTTTAGGTTACATATTATTTATTGGTGTGAGTTCATCGCGAGGAGGTGCCAGAGGGGGCTCACCGCCAAGCAAATCTCCTTAATACAGATTTCGCCCCCCAACAACGTGCAAACGGGATTATGAACGTCTGTCTCCCAAGATACAACGCTTCTTCTAAAGTCGATAATGCACAATACCAACCTTGTCGGTCGAACCAAAGAATGAACGTACTTGGACAGAATGACAACGAAAATATTGAAGGATTTTTTGCAAAATATGGAGAGAGAA